ATGACCAATTATTATAATTTAGGGAGTGATCCCACAGAAATACTTGTTTAACTAGTCTATTGTCATCAAGTTCAGTAAGATGCTTCCACAGTCTAACCATATGGGCCCATCTCCGATTTCTGCATGAGACTCACCCAGTGTCACCTTTAACAGCCAGGAGAGGGGAAAACCTATGGGCGACAAGAAAAAATATTAAAGCCCTATTTTGAATCATTTCACACTATTCAAATTTACTAAAACCCCAAACTCCGGAACAATAGTCAAGTATAGTCGCGACACTGGCATCATATAACTTTGCAAATGTGGAAAACCCAAGATTCTTGATAGTTTTAAATTTAACGAATAACGCTCCTAACGCTCTACTTGCCGAGTCTGCTGCGATAGCAGCAGTTACAGAATAATCAACGAATTCATCCAAAACAATCCCCAAACATCTATACTTATCGGTATAATCTAACACGTCATTACCAATACAAAATTGGGATGGTAAATGGTAAATTTACCAATGGTAAAAGCTCTGTATTTACTGACATAATGGTAACAACTTGAATCCACTAAAATGAAACCACCAAAATTGGTGACCTCCGAACATTTAAAGTGAGTTTATTGCAAAAATAAAAACATTATGGGTACACTCGATAACAGCGCAGACTGTAAATGATTATTTTTATTTATTAATTTTAAACCTTAAAGCGGGGGAGTTGTCACCTGCGCATGCGTCATATGGCCATAGCGTGCCATTGTTTACAAACAGACGTCTACCCCTGAGCCTTTGCGTTTTTAGCGTGTGTTGTTATCGTCGCTTGGGACGCTTTAAGTCATAACAATCACGCCATGCCTAAAATCGTATTCTATGTCACTTGGAAAATATATGCATTTGTATCTAATTCAATTTAGTGGCTTACAGAGAACGTAGTGGACCATAGTGTTATATTCGCCTGATTTACAGCGATACAGTTGGCAAAAATAACGACTGTAAATCCGTCAATATCGACAATCATTGAACGTTCGTCTATTACCAGGTGATAGATGAGCTAACTTCCACGTGCCTGTGATGCCATCGGCGAAAATTGTAACCCACTGATTAATCAAGTGGTTACAAGCAACATAATATGACAATGTACCCGTGATTATTCGCCTGCGGCTGAGCCTCAGCTTTATAATTATACCCCTACACCGAATAATTCAACTCACATTTCATCGCATTGAAACCAGATTGCGTATGAAATCAACCATGACAAAGTTAATAGTTAATCTCACGGCGTACATATCCCATATAGGGCGTGATCCGTCTCAAGTATTGGGATGAGTGTCGTGCACCTTTTGTTTAGTTTACAATGCTGTTCAATGTGAGTTTAGGTTACACCCATAATAAACTAGTTTTCGAGTGTGATGCGCCATGGCTCCTGGATGCATGCCATCTTCGAGGTTTTATCGATCATTTCACCACATTGACGAATACTTGTTTATCGGGACACATATTGCATGCATGTATGCAACATATGCAGGAAAATATTCTCTACACATTTTTAAGCGCGCCACTGATGAGTAATTTGTCCGATACACAACAAACGAACACAGATAAATACTGATAAGTCTACAATATATACATGTGTAGATAAGCACGACGCTGGTAGCTTCGCCTTTGCAAACTGCATTTGCCGTTAGTCCATTTGCAGGTTTACAGCGCGGTAGTGGGTGTCATATAAACAAAGATGGCGACTTTAACTGTTGCGCAGAACAACGAGTACGAACTGAGACGTTTTCAAGCTTTAATTAGGTAATTTTCATGTGATTGGAAGGTAACGAAAGAGTCACCGGCGGTAATCAGTGCAAATCGCGCCCAAGTCAAACCTCATACTTCTGCCAATGTGATTTCCATTTGAAGAGCGCATTGGATTGTGGGAAAATCAATGTTTATCAAAACAAATGTCGCACATGCGCAGCGCGACGACTGCTGCGCTTTAAGTGTCACGTCGTAATTCTGTAGTCCTTGTCTGTATTGGTTGTTATAAAACAACCACAATTTCAAATGTAACCATTGATATGACACCTAGTGTTCGCTGACAAGCATTCGACTTTATATACCGGGTAGTACTGTAATCTTACGGCGATGCGCAGTCGCTACGTACAAATGTGAGTAAATATGCGCCGTTGACGGCGTGTGTCATGCATGGGCTTCCGTCGAACGAGCCTGTCGCGTTATTGACGTAATCGGGTCACGCGCACTTGAAACGCACGAATCGTCTATCAAAGATGTGTCGGATTTGAAAGACAAAATATATTCAATATGCATCGGAAAGAAAAAGCAGTCACACCTTTTTCTATAGACGATGTGGACAACAGTCGCCATCATATATTGGTGGTGGTTGTTTATACTTGGAAAACAAAAACACGAGATGGCGCGAAAGTATCTCCACTTTATAAATTATGTGCCCGACTAACCCGCGTTTGAAGTGGTCTTAGGTATCGGCCCCAGCCGAGGTGCAATGGGAGATCCTCCCCCTAAAGGAACCTCTATGACCATGGTTGATCCATACGCCAGGTAAGTGTGTGCTAATAGTATATACATGTATTGATATACCTTCATGTGCATTCTGTTAAGAATGTGTGGTACAACAAGTTCCCAATTGTCACTCTAACTACATATTGATGGAACAGACTTGTTTCGCCTGGGTGTAATAGGACAGTTCCCAGTAGTGAGTAGTGGTGACTCAATGAACGCCAGCCTAGGAACAGCGTCATCTGCGTGCAAAGTTTGAAATATTTCGTTTTCATTGCAATGGTGCATGGCGACTCGTGCATATACGTCGTGAACTGTATAATATTTCGGGGTATAATCGGCTGCGGTGTTGGTTTATTGTTTTAAATATCAAACTAACTTCATTCAATTAATTATGAAACATGAAAATAACTTTGAAGCACTAAAAACCATGAACATAAGTGATACAGCGCCCGAAACGTCGTACTTGTAACCGTGGTAAAATGAAATGAGCCCTGAAACTAGCATACAATGATTATAGACTCAACGAGGGGTGACACACATTTGCACCAGTACATCAATGTTTCGAGCTTCGTTTGAGTAGTTTTTTTTTGTTATATACAACGTTGATATTAGTAAAATCGTCTCAATCGACACAAATGAAAAAATACAGACACCGATTAATGTCGATTTTTACCTCCATGGTAATAAAACATTTATTTTAAAAATTTCATTTTACCGTGTGTCATTCACGTTTGGCATCTGTCTTCTAAACCGTGGTATATCGTTTCTTTTACCATAGCTTGAACAATAAACATTTAATTGGACATTTAAAACGTCATCGGCCAATGACTGAAAGTCTCTGACATGATTACGTGATTACCAGGTCTCAAAACTCGTGGGGGAAATCCATGCATAATACATACCATACATATCAAATTGCGACTCTTGTGTATGCTGATTAGTGAATGACCATGCATTGAGTTAGATGTTTACATGTACTTTAAATTCGTTGAAACTTTAATCTTGCCTATACTCATTGTATGATACTGAAATACATGTACATGATGCAAGCAGAGCGCTTAAAATTAAAGTATTGTAAACACTTGTTTATGGGTTGGAGTGCAAACATGTAATGAAGCAGTGCTAGGGGAGTGTTGGGGAATACCAATTTATGTAAAATATGTGCTAAGCGTATAAACTATTGGTTACACCTATCTGAACTACCGGGATTCAGAATTGCCAAACAAGCGTATAAATTGATGTACAATTTGGACAACTATGGGAACATATCATGGACAACAGAAATTAAAAATATTTTATGGATTCGATGTTGCGTGGTTTGCTCAGAGAAATGTCGAGTTATTCATGGCGGAGTTCAGACAGCGGGTAACAGATTGTTATAAACAAGAGTGATACAGTGTAGCATTCGTTGTACATGTCATATAATACGTACTCAGGGAGAGCATTATTTGGTTGTAGTGAACGAAGAGAGAACATTGTGCGTTTTGCTCCTTAAATGCAATCGAGGACGAATTACATTTCGTTATTGAGTGCCCTTTATATCTCATTCTAAGAACCACATTGATTACAAAATACTTTTGGCATATCCCTACTCATGGCAAATTAAAAAAGATAACGCGGTAAAAATTACTTATCCTCGGAAAATATATATACAAATGAGGGAGGAAGCCCTCGCATGATTGAATTCATGAAATTAGTTATGTGCATATTGTTATATGTTTTAGTTATATGGGCATGTGGCCCAGAAAGACGTTAATCAATAACAAATAATTAGTGAATGGTCATGCATTTCTGAATTTAAATGTGAATAGTTTAGCGTCAAGGTTTAGAGTTCGGCGTTATGGCAAGGGTGGCATTTGGAATCGAATGAAATGAAAGGTATACACTGTTTATTATACATATATTCTATTTCACAGTGCAAATAAATATCAGCCATCACATTCATACTCTGTTGAGAATAGCGTGTATATTTCTGATGTTACTTCAGAACATGTGGCAGTCATTTATATCAACAGTACGTGCAATAACACGACTAGAAACTGGGCGCCATGCGATTTTGAAACTTTGAAATCGCAGCTCAGTTTCGTGGACGCTGTAAATGACATAGTTTTATATTGTGTATTCATGCGACTAATCATTGTACAGCGTGGTGCCGTATATTTTATATGATGGCGACAGCTTGTGCTCCGGCGAAGTGAACCAAAATCCGTGTATAATATATACGTACTACGTCGCTGACACTGGCGGTTGTATTGCCCACAAGCAGAGGATACGCTACGAAGATATAAGACGGTACCACGAAACTAAGCCCGAAAATATCAAAAGGCTGAATGGACTTCCGTGATCAGTGACTATGTGACACGTGACCAAGCATGGAGAACTGTTTTTAATGTAGAATTGTGAAACTGAGTAACAACTGTGCGTACATCCGCCTCCATACTGGGTAGTGCTCTCGTCGTCTTTTTTGAGATATATAGTTTTACTGTAAAGAACGATGGTTTCATTGAAACGACCAAAGAAATCTTTGGTGGTCGCCGGGATCGTTATTATTTTGAATTTGCTCGTCATTAATAAAGTATCTCAAAACGATTGGGATATTCAACGGGCGGATAGTCACTATGGCAACCAATCGTCCACATCACAGGATCATCTCAATCAAAGGTCACATATTTCAGGTACGAACGCTACAAATGATGATACGTAATATGACAATACACTCTGTATTCAGAGACTCGAAAAACTTATTTTCATCGTTTAAAATATATTTCCCCCCAAAATATCGTATGTACATCTTCAGAATCCAGATAGCCCAATAACTTGGAATTTGAATAGTTCATGGGACCAAGATCCGCGCAGAGATTGCACCGGATTCGGGTTGTTAAATTAGTCAATATGGGCGACAACACACCATTTAAGGTAGAAGCCTACTTATAATTTGGGGGAATTTGAGTCATAAATCGCATGAAAATGTTCATTGGTTTATCATGAAAGCTATACGAAGCTATTTACCCATGGCACAATAAAATAGTGTGTGTAACAGTAACGTATTTGAGAAACTTTGCCTCATATAAATTTGTTAAAAATCGGCATTTTTGGAACAGTTCCATGGTACATAAAGTTACAAAATTTCATTTATGACACTTTTTTAGATAATTAAGGACGACCAGTACCACATCATTTGCAATATGTATTTTTTTTCAGCCCATGTTACCAGCCAGCAATTTGAGATATGGCATGATCTCTGCCTATGGTTAAAAGCGTATTAATACTGCCAGCAACTATCCACTAAAAGACGACCACCATTTTCTCGAAAAATGGGGTGGTGAGCCCTATTTTTTCCAAATCAATTTGTGGAACATGAATAAATTTGCCTTTATGAGTAGGTTTCTACTTTAATTTGGAGTGGTTTTACGGTGTACATTAGTTAAACTCACTGGTGCCACGTGTAAGGCGCTACTAATTTGAAAACTGTTAGGCTGGGGAATGTTGCGGACAAACAATGTTGTGAAAGAAATTTAAAAAATATATATTCCAATTGAATATGAAATGCTAAAATACTGAAAAGCAATTTTCTTCAGCCCTCATTTTTCAAATATGTAACATCAAACCGTTGTAACCACCTTGTTTTGTTATGGACATTGCGTAACTTGAACTACGGAATTTTTTTTTTTTATTTCGATTTTTACCTCTGTCAACAAAACAAAACATTGAATCTCTTGATTTGTTGGAGGGGTTTTAACATGGTGCCAGATTTTCACGATTGTTGCAATAATATAACGAGTAGATGCATTTAAACCGCTAGGATTAACAACTAAACTGTTCCCAGACGTAAATCGTCACGGGATACGGTACCATCAACGTTATTGACACAATTTATTAACGCCCCATTAATGAGAACCGCGATCTTTAATTCCGCCATCACCTAGTTGAGTCGAAGCATTGGATACGTCGATTAAAAACCTGAACAAGCTGCTCTCTGATTGGTCTGAGTGTTAAGTTTCACGGTTGGGTGGCCAATCAGACACAATCCTGTAAGATATTTATCTAAACTCCTGATTGAGCATACAACCTCGGCTGCCATATAGGCCCAGTTGGATTAAGTATGCTAAATATTCTATACCAGGTTACAATTTACTCCTGTGTGTAGAGAGAGAGACAGTAGGAGGAAAGCCAGCGTTATAACACCATGGTATGGCCAGCACTCGAACGTACAACCCCATGCGGATTGTCAGAGCAGAGTGATAACTATTCGTTATGCCATGGTACACATGTAGGCTCGTTCGCGGATGTTTCATTACGCACAGAGTTACCGGCTTGTACTTTATGTTGTACCATTCATCGTACAAGTTAGGCTGATTCGCATATGTTACACGGCGCGTTAAATTACCGGATTGTTACGGGTTTTATCACGATTGACTACAAATAAGACTGAATAAAATACATGATAAGTAAAGGTTAATAAGTGTATATCAGGACTTTTTCGTGATTATATCACGACCGACTACAAGCAAATCTGAATAATAAAATGGCGGATTTTTATTTGACATTAGTCATATCTGTTTTCTGTTGCCTTCATTATAGCTTTGACTGCATATCACTATCTGCAGCAGTGCTTAATATAGTTATGCATATTAATTAGGTCACATATGGTCATCTGGTATGTTAGCTATCTTGTCCAATGGCTTCAACATTGCACCGAATGCATATTCTCAACAGTGCCTGATATATTACAGTTATGCATATTAATGAGGCCATATAACCATATATGGACGTACAATATATGTCATATCGCTTGTGCAGTAAAAATTAAATTCCGTTTGTTTCTAGTCGAGTTAATCCCCCTATTTTGTCTGTTTAAACGTCCTTTAAACCCCATGATCATTTCACATCACTGTACTCGTAACCAAGGGCGGGCCTTTTTATTTCTCGGTTGCTATGCGATGTTTTACGAGAATAAGAGTAAATTTACTTGTGCGATGCGTTTATACCTGTTTATAGTAAATTATACCTCCATGGTTAATTTAAGTTTACACAAAATTCAACCCTACACTAAACACGTACATGACATGGAAGTCTCACACTCTCTGTACGTGATAAACTCGGTTGTTAAGCATCCTTTGGTAGTGGGGGGGGGGGTGACCGGTGACTGAGCTGCATGGCGTAAAGCTGGGTGATTTTGTACCATACGCGAGCCACGTACGCTGTAGATGTTTACTTTCATTCAACATAGTATAGACCATGTACTTTTATTCGGTGTTATTTCCTTACATACGTACACACACACACACACATACAGACACACTAACTCAAAGACTCCTACTGTTTGCTCCACACACGGGAGTATACAATGGAGACTTTGAAGCTAAACCATACACATATGCTACAGGTCACTTGGGAGAGGGAAAAAATACGAATCTAATGTTTACGTTATTTATTAAGCTTTTTTTTCGCCTGGTCCGGCAGCTTGCGAAATGACGCCCACTTAGTAGTAACACGTGTTTGAAGGTTTATTCATAATTACGTGAGTATTTTGTTATGGGAATTAAACCTGTACCAGTAGTTTAGATAAATTAAGTGAATTCAACTGAATTTGAAAATTGATTTAAAAATTATCGTCGGTTTTGTAGTTTCCCGCGCACATTGAAGTTTTTCGGAAAGTGTGAAGTAGCATAGAACTTGTGGTTATTGTGTGTTATGCACATTTACTGAGTCCAGCCAACTGAAAAAGTAATTTTGGTCGACCATTGTTTCCAACCAGGTATATGTTGTAATAAGTATATGCCATGTTACATGGCATATCATCACGTGTTCACTAAATTTTGGTATCACGCCGCAAGTCATTTTGGCTCAATGAGTGTGAAAGAAATTTCCATAAAATTGACAAACACATGTGTTACAACAATTTTCATTACAACAGATGCAGCTTCATAAATTTTAATGAAATAATGGCCATCGTTTTGCACGTCAACTTTATGCGGTTACCATGGAAACCCCTTAATGCGTTGTCCATTTTCGTATCTACTTGACACTATGATTAACCTTTGGGCACCTTTCACCCTTCACAAAATAAAACCAACATATTATTTTTTGCATATTTCTTTTATATACTTTTGATCAAGACTAGGGAAATTGCGTCCATGTGGTAAAAAATTATTAAAAAGAAAATATATAAAAAAGGTAAATGCTGCATCAACATTTCGGCGGGAAAGATCGTATCACTCAAAGATTTACGAGATGTGAAGTTCGTGAGAGCATACACCATAAATAATGGCCACTTCAGTTTAATCTCGATGATTGTGCCTTTGTGAAAAGTTCGGTATTTTAACTTCCGTAATCTATATATCCAAATTAACAACACAGAAAGCTACATATAAATGGGAATATGAATGTATTCAATATAATGATACTGATTTAAACACGTTGGGGTCACCAGCCTAATTATTGAGAAAATAATGGTTATATTTTAGTGTATGGCGGCCATTTTGTCAGTAATATAACGTTTTTTGTTTTTGTATAATCTCAAAAAATGACAATCCATGTCACCATAGAAGTATAGCTCTATGATTGTACATAATAAACCCATTGACATGCAATTCGTAATAATGTCCCTATTAATCTAAACAAATACTCCACATTCAAGTTGAGAGTTGATATACACTATCCTGTTGTGTCTTTTAATTAAAACAATATTGACACGTCATATAGACGGATGTCACAGTGCGTGGAAACAATACAGAACGAGGGATTAGTCCAGTAATTTAGCGACACCTGTTTTTTTTTAATAGTCTGGTTGGGGAACGACCGAGGTCAAAGGACTGAAAAAAAAAAAAAACTACTTAGTAAATGCAATATTGATTTCTGTCTTGTTTATGAACTTGGTGTGACGTTTTTGGATAACAGAAGGACTGGGACAAACTGACTTGATCTAACAACGGAGTTAAAGCGGGAGGGTTGTCACCTGCGCATGCGCGGGAATTGAGTCCCACGATAACAACATACGCTAAAACGCAAAGGCTCATGGGTAGACACAATGACACGCTATGGCCATCTGAAGAATGCGCAGGCGACCACTCCCTCGCTTTAAAAATGATTTTTTTAACTAAGTGGTAAAACAGCCAAGCGTATTCAAACCTCAAATACTCAAATTATCGATTCTTCTCAGGTTGTAATTTACGAAATCTGATATTTAGAAAGCAAAGTAAATTTTAACTTACGTTGATTTTTTTTATGTAAAAAATAGTGTTTTATTTATTCCTACAGATTTATAAATATAGACGAACGCATGTGCAGTGATTGTTATTGTACGTACCAAAAACAACTAGTGCACATGCGTATTAGAGTATTTCATTGTTTCATCAAACGAATACTCAGATATGAGCAGCAAGGACGGCATTTATAAATCATAGCCCAATGTATTCCCTAACATACAGCTTGCAAACAATAATATTAAAAATTACATGTTACCTAAATTACACACAGTGTTTCCAGTTTTGAACACGACCACCTGTTGCATAAGCGAGGCGAGACAACAAATATAGCTTGTGTTTATTGAAAATGTCGCGGGAACTCCCTGTCAACAATTGCATTATCTCCAAACATAGCGGTAAACAGCTTTGATATGAAAAATACAATATCTTTGAAGTGACAATCATTCTGGGGTATAATGTTAATGAAATTGAACAAGACTCGATCTGTATTCCAGAACACTAAACAGACCTTCAATAAAAGGGCTGCCGAGTTCTCGTCGAGAACGAGAGAACCACGAGACTTGATTCTTGGAATAGTTTTCTATTGTCTCCTGTCATTGGCAGAAACTTTAAACTAATCAAATAATTAGTGATTTAGCTATTAATGGTGTTGTTATTTACATTACAGATCTATTACCAGTGAATGTTACGTTTTCCCTGATGTCTACAACCGATTCCTCCTCGATTGATTTGAGGTGTCCGGTAGAATTCGCTCCCCCGCGAAGCCGCCCTCTCGTGGCCCTGGCTAGCGCTCCTGGTTCTGGTAGTACGTGGACACGTCATCTGATAGAACAAGCCACTGGTATATATACCGGAAGTGCCCTTGGGTGCCATGTCGCCCTCAAGCAGGCCGGTAAGTACATCCGAATTATGATTATAGTTCATAGACAGAAACAAATGGGACCGTCAATTAATGGATTGTCTTTATGGCACAATTAATGAAAACACTCATATCTAGTTCGAAATAAATTGTTTTCCAGGTATTTGGGGTCACCAGCCTCTATTTAGAGAAAATAATGGTTAGTTTTTAAGAGAATGATGACCATTTTGGTTTCTGTGCTGGAAATATTATAACATATCTCAAATTGTTGATTGATTGGGTACTTTTTGTTATAATGGAATGAAATTCAAAAATATGGGTTGATTTAAAAAAAGTTATAAAAACGTTATTTCCCGTAATTTCTTTTAAAATAGCAATGCCAGGATTAATAATTAGGCAAAATACAACAGAATGATGTTTCCTGCTGTAATGGGACTATAGTTTAATGAATTACATGATAAATCAATGAACATTTTCTTGCGATTTATGACAAACTTTCTCAAATAACTCATCAGTTGGGTTCTACCTTATGACGAGCGAGTTTGTTTCAATTTAATTTCTTCTTACATTGACAGTCGATTTATATCATAACTTTAATATTTAGATTAAAGTTCTTTTATACTCTTTTCTAACATCTATGTTTTCTTTTAAATATATCATGAGAACATTGCACCCAACGCCGATGACGAATGTTCATACATTCACAGTAGTCGATCTAAACGACATTGCCTTTACCCGTCATACACGTCATTTTGACGTCATTGAAGTCTTCCATCACTAGAGGGCGCGATTTACAGGAAGGGTGTTTTTCATTGTTGTTTAACTGTTAAATCTGAGGAAATATTTTTTTTCTTCCGTTCTCCGTTGCAAATAGTCACGTGACCGATAATAAATGTTAGTACTCAAGTAAATCAAACATTCTTGTCTTACTTTTTAGGTTTCCTTGGAGACTGTGTGGACTACTTTTCCGGTACTACGATAGTTGGGAAAGTTCACAAAACTGGGAAAAAGAATCTGTTTGATTCTATTATTTTGTTAATTCGTAATCCGTACCATTCCCTGCAGTCTGAGTTTAACAGACACCAAGCTGGGAAGACTGGGTTCGCACATCCGTCTGATTTTCATACTCCAGGTAAGGGCGCTGATTCAATAGAAATCTTTTCGTTCACTGCGAGATCCCGCGTTATGCGTGAAAATAAACGTAAAAACAGGACAAACATCGCGTGGGATTCGTCAGACGAGAATGTACTTTTTGGCATTTCCACGCTCAATAATATGCGCTCAAGTTCATTTTTTGCGGCAGACGTTCTGACTGTTTGCATCTTCCACGCACAGCGCGAGATCTCGCATTGAACCGAAAATCACTTATTCATAGAAAAGGTGCAATAAAGAACTCAACCCTCAGAACCTCAGCTAAGAACTCATTACACATTGTAATACTGAGTTCTCCTTCAGGAGAGAGGTGAAATTGCACGTTACCCCGAACGCAGCGATTGCACACTAGGCAATTAGCCCCAAAACATTCCGTACGTATATAAAATATATATTGTCATTGTCATATGGCTCGGTTGCAAATTACATTTGTAAGTAGGGTTGACCTCTTTAAAAAGTGCTATCATTATTAATATTTTTTTATTGAATACGTCATTTGGAACCATATCGAACACGAATACACGGCGTGACTAAAGAACATTGACACAGATGAGTTGAAACACGATTTTTATTCAGTTGAGTGGAGAGAGAGAAAAAACCCATTGTACAACAAAATATTCACAGTATACTTGAATATAAACAGCTGTTCCCCGAATTAATGAAATATATCACCGCATATAAATGCGAAAAAAATAACTCCTGTACTTGAAGGCACGTACATGATTTTCAATTGTTCATCCAGAATATACGTTAAAACGCCACAGTCGTTAAGTCAATGAAAAGCTAGTTACAACGTTATTTCTGATTGGCTACTCAATCAGAGAGAAGCTTTTTTTAACGTATTAAATTCATCCTTGTATGTATGTACAGACTCAGCTGCAGTCGGCTGAGCATTCGAACAACAATTAAAATTAAAATTCTTCTAAAGAACCATTTTTGTTGACATGAAACATTTATACCCCAGAAGAGCTCAAAACGTTACAACCGAGTCAGAAGAGGAAGTTTTCATTGGCGCGAGAAAGCCTTTTGGTAATACCCATTACCAATAAGTCCGAAATTATTCGATTAATCATGACTGATTTAGCCTGAGATAGAAAATAGATCCAATCAAATGTATTCCAAATGCTTCAAATGGCATATATTTTATGAGTAGTAAAAGAGGATGGCATAGTACATTACAAATGACAAACAAAACAAAACATATTCATACATTCAGAGTAATCGTAGTGGAATTCTATACGGACTGTACCCGGGCGGTATTCATCCACTTTATAATACCTTGCGATTGGCCCAGTTGTCTCCGAATTTATAGAACGTAACGTTCATATATATATATATTATATAATCAAAAACGAGCAAAAAAATACAGCCATTTGAAATGTAGTATAGCATTCCAGTGTAATTACATTTTCACCAATTTCCATTAAGCGTTCACTCTGTTTTGGAACACAGTCCTTCTATCACTATTACTATACTGTAGTTGGAACAGTATGCGAATGAGCTTGTAACAATGAGAATGAGATTTCTACACTTTACAGATAAAGCAAATTCCTAATTATGTTTTACATTTGTATAATGTATTTGATAATTTGTGTTTGAGAATCAAAATTGGAAATTGTGTTTGAATTACGACATTTAATGTGGAAAGTGCTTTATACGTTTACAAAAATAATATCTTTGCACAAATCACGAACGAATAAAATAGCTGATTACATTTTATACCTTGCCCATTACATTAAATTATTACGAAATTAAAATCAATTGATTACAGCTTACGAAAATACCCCTTAATAATAATTTATCTTTTTTTTTTCAGAGTGGAGGGATTTCGTACGAGTTGCCTCAAACGGATGGGAGAATAAAGTCACTGTGTATCTGAAAACAACTAAGCCGCTTTTAGTAGTACACTACGAAGCCCTCAAAGAAGACCCTGTGAAAGAATTGAAAAAAGTTCTTTCATTTTTAGATCTACCGTTCGACGAATACAGACAAGAATGTGTCAGAAATAATTTAGAAGGATCATTTCACAGACCCGAAAATAACACTTTGAACTTTGACCCATATACTGACGCCATGCGCACCAATATTGAAAGACGGATCATCAGGGTCAATAAGATCCTGTATGATAAAGGACTGAGGTTAGTTGACACGGCAACATCCTGGTAAAACAGTTGCCATGGATACGTGGCGCTGATGGAGACTATTATTGGGGATCAAAGGATGATGTCTGTGATCCGATCATGACTGACGCCTTCGATCACCATTTAAAATAACATGGATATAATCAATGTTTGTATCATAATGGTTATTTCAATATTATAATACATTATGCCAAAATAAACTGCTTCAAAGTTCAAATTTGCACTTGACACATGTGAAATAAAGGTAACATTTTAAATGTCATTGACAGTAGAGAGCAAGAGTCACGATTTGCGAGGTAAAACCACAGTCCCTCCCTTCCACGTGGCTGTCTCGCTCTCAACGAGAACTCGCCGGTCATCATTGTCCAAGGTTTATTTCACATTAAAATTGGAATCGGTTGTCATATTCTATGAAACACTATATTAACTATGGAATGCAAATTAACTTTAAATTAAAACCAGGACCAAGAAAGTGAATATATATTTTGTCCAAAACTAGCGTCTCATTATTGCTCTCCTGAAATGTAATTCAGCGAATTTCTTTTAAAGAGCGAATCATTAAGCAATGGGGCTGTGCCTCTATTTTATAATTGGTTAAGCCCCAGCGCTCCAAAGTACAGTGCTTTATCCTACCAGAGGGTGTACTTCCCTTCGCCAAAAATAAAGCGATATACTTCACCACAGAGGGCGTACTTTGATATAGAGGGTGCTAATAAAACGATTTGCTTCACAAGATTCCAACATTAATTTTATTCAATTTTATTTTCAATTGATCTATTGTATCATAGTTTACATTGCAGTGTAGAAATATAAATAATTTACAAAACATTTCCCAGTGGCTGATTTATTTCTATACGTAACATACTATGTGATCACCATACAAGGAAAAAAATCAAAGGTGGATAAAGATATGGACAAACAACTCTGTATGGGTTTTTTTTAAAAATTTTGGAATTTTTTTTAAAAAAAACTTGCCCATGCAACAATTTTAGAACCAGAACAGAAACTTTAATTTTCAGTCATTTGTTTGGTTTTTGCATCTATGCAAGTACATGGTTGCACAAAGTATTTGATATTTTAAATTGTCTTTTAACTTAATTTAACCTGAGCTTGAGTAGAAAATAAGTATAGATTGGTACAACATATACTTACATATCCCTTATTTTAACCTAAGCTATGAAACCAATTATAAATTAAGTTAAAGTTTGGTATGCTTAGTTGATTTAATTACAAAAACTTCAATTACCGATACACTCACCAGTTTAACTTAATTGTCATGTCACTGCACATGCACCTGTGTGCAGGATTTACCTTCATGCACAATATCAAATAATTCCCGTTTTCAATGTTGAACCTAAAGAGTTAAAGCAGGAGGTAGTCACCTACACATACGACAGCGCTGTAGCGAGTCGTTTGCAAACGTGCAAGCACATGACCAACGAATACTTGCATTTTTACCATGCATCGTTATCATCGCTTGGAACTCAAAGGGATGAAGTCTTCGTTTTAAACCTTCAATGCACAGCATCATTAATAGCAATGAAAATTGTATACGTCTACACTTTTTACTTACAGACTTCAAAAGGAAATACATTTCGTCAGTTGTAGTATCGGTATATACAATTAATTTCCTTTTACCAATCGCTTGCTAAAAGCCACCATGGATACCCAAAATAAATTGGGAAAATACAGCATCTGCAAAACTGAGTTGAAGCTCATTTCAATATTGAGTAATTTGTTCTAAACGGAAATTGAAACACTAATTAAATATACATGTATACTGTGCAGTTTATCAAATATTAATATTACCGGTATTCGTAGTTGCTACTACAATAAATCCAGTCATGTAGTGGAGTTTGAATACTGCTTTGGATGTGCACTGAACACAGCAAGCCTAAGAATACCGCTATATTTACTCTGATTCAGTGGTTACACAATTTAAAAAAAGTTGTTTAATGGTAGTTATACACGAAACAACTGAAGAGTACTGTTTGCGTCTCTGAATATTCCTAATGTAAACTACATGCACTAAAAATTAGGGTAGCGTTGCAGGGGGAAAAATGCATCCTTGTTCTCAAGTGAAAATTTCAAAATTATATTGTGAGTAATATACGGTACTGTAAAATACTTCATTTTAAGCTGGATTAATTTTCACTCAAAAGACTTTTAAGGTGCTTTAATTGTATGGAAATTATTTTCACTAATTTTGCACTAATAATTGCCAAACAGAAAATGATTTGGATGATATAGTCACTTGATTGAAAAGCTGAAATCTGATTTTATGTTTATACATGTATGCACTTTTATTCAAGCTTTTATTCAATACAAATGAAGAGGGGGAAAAAAGTCCTATAAATAAGACAAATATATCACAACGGCCTGCTTCACATTATATTGACAGTGAGCACTTTCTATGAACATTACTGTCAGCAAGACACTTCAAACAAAAATATTCTTTCTATTACTGTAAAATCTGGTAGTATGCAATTACAGAGCTTCATTTGTTACAAAACTCGTGATAAATTTTCTAGGTGTGAACAGATGTCGTTAAAATATCAGGAAATTTTACTCTTCTTTTTTTTTTACCTGAATTAAAAAAAATTAAAAGAAAGGTATTTTTTTTTAACATTGATAACCCACCCTGAATTATCAAAAATACAATCATGTGCAATCTAATTTTTCCTTTCAGTAGAAACTTGCATGTAGGACTCATTTAATCTACATTGTAAAATGCAAGATTTTAGCATTGAGAGTGAAATAAATTACAGAGAAATGTACGTAATCTACATACATTTAACATAAAAATTACTTCTTTATGTATCAAGAAAAGTCTAGGAACTTGTAAATAAAATTCTTGGACCATATCACGTAACTCCTTTACTATCAGTATTAGTAAATAAATATTGAATATTCAGATTTGCATGTATTACGGTATAAATAACCATAACATATCAGAAAGGTAAAGTACCCTGTGCAGTACCACAAAATGATGGCGCATTAACTCATGGAGACACTGCGAGAGATTTATATCAATTAATATTCATATCAACTGAAACACTTATGCGTGTACATGTTAGTGGAAAACTGGCTTTGGACTCAATCATATCATCTTGGTAATACTTACAAATATTCACATATTTTGTGAGTCGGGAAATATCAGAGTGACCTCACTGAGCAAAACATTATAACCACAAAAATAAAACATTTTTCTCATCAGATATGTTTTTAGACCAAAAGAGGAAAAATAAAATATCAGTTTACAAATCAGTTTCGAATTCATTATTAGAATGTGAGCTACATTCATTGTCATGACTTTTCACTTGTATGATGTCGTCTTCCTCGCTACCATATTTTCGTCTGTTAGTGTGTTCCCCAGCAGAGACTGTTCGGTGATCAACAGACCACAACTCTGGTAAAAACTTTGGTTGCATGGTATTGAGAAAATGTTGTCTCCAAGCCTTCTCAAACTCAATCAGTCCACCCTCACTTTGACGAACAACTTCAACGACTTTGTACCCATGTGGTATATAGCCATCGTTGGTAACTTTTGAATCTAATTTTATACATTCTTCAATTACTTCATCGTTAACATCATCGATGCTGCAGTAGTTTTGAATATATTCCTCTAGTTCCAGTTTGCGTGCTTCCGGCAGTTTTCCTCGGTTGAATTTCAAAGCTCTTGCAGCTGAGCGAATTTTGACTACGGTGATGTTCTCGTGGTATCTGTTATGTGTGTGACTGGGCAGCGGCGCATCACACAGGTCAGCGTAGTGTTGTCGCATTGGAGCATCCAGATTGGAACTGAGCTGGTGACAAGCGAAGCACAGCAGTACAACATCATGGGAAGAATGCTCTTTGAGACGACGTGGAAAATATCTAATGAAAAAAAAGTCAATTTTTAAATCATAATTCCGTACATGTATATGCATTAATTATTTGCTGGTTATCAATATTAATTTTGTTATTTTTGTTGAAAAGTAAAATTCGCTAAATTTGCAGAATAACAATAGAGTTCATTGTTTCCTCGTCAACTTCTTAAAACAGTTAAATTGCTCAAAACATTAAAATAGGGAAATTAAATGCCAATTAGAGAATAAGCAACCTGGTGAAAACATCACATTATAAAGTACTCCATACATGTAGCTCCTATAAAGTTATTACGAAGATATCGCAAAGTATACCTGATGACAGCACAGTGATAATGACAGACACCTACATGTATCAGAGGTCAATACAACCATATACTAGTACTGTCTGAGTAGAGGTTTTGAAGTACCCGGTATCCTCTGAATACTTTGAGCACCAAAGTTAATCCCATCACAAATTATAATTCTCAGAATTTTTTTTTCGTATTTCTTCAAAAAATTTTGATTAAGACCTGCAGCCAGTAAGAAATTATGTTAATTTGCTCCAAAATTATTAAAAAAATACAAAAAATACCTAAAAATAGACAAAATGTTGAACCAAAATTTCAGTGAAAAAAAATTAGATTACTGTAAACCTCTTTGCTTTCATTTTTTTGTGTGCAAATGTCATGAGTGAAAATCATAAAGCATAGTACACTGTAGCAGTAAAAATTTCTCTTTGGAATGCCACACAGTCTTTCACAAAGTATCGTCTTCATGAATGCCCAAAATCACCAAATCATGGCAATTCCTTGCAGCAGAGTGCATTCAAATTTTATGGAAACAAATGTAGTTTACTTTGGGTCCCATATTGAACATGACACAGTGCAACAACTATATATTGCTTCAAGATTTGATTTGATGATTATATGGCATTTGTGAAAACAAAATATTACAAAAGTTGATGACACTCCATGTCATAGAACCCCAATGATAGTTTCACAGACTCACAAAATTTCAGTGACTCCAGAAATTCATGAAAATTTGTATCGCTCCAAATTAACCGTTTGAGTGTCCTTCTCAACTTTAGGCACACAAAATAATTTTGTACAGACTGCTCTGCTTCACATGAAATATAAAAATTAACAAACTTTGTGATCAAAAACTAGTGTATGGTCCAAAAATAATGAGGACATTTAGTGACAATTTAACACAAAATGAGAAAATGTTTGCATTGAACTTTGGGCATCAAAAATATAGATATATCTCTTGTCTTTTATGTTCCAGGCATGAATATATAATATGAACAAATTTCCATACATGTTCATAAAGGCAATTATGCCAAATTTAAAAAAAATTAACAACTCACTTCCTATATTCGTGTGGGACAACATTCTTTCGAATGTAGGAGTCCACTGCACCACACACCACACATCGGTTTTCTTTTTCTGTCAGGTAATAATTTCGTTCAGATCCAGGTCTTCCTGACGGCTCAAACTTCAGTCTGACTGTATATGGCTGATCGTCATGAACCACTTCACCGATGTCCTTATGCACGTACCATTCTGCTTTTCGTCTGTCACACGTACACAATAATTGACCATCCGGTGCTAGCAACTGACAGTTATCGTACAGTGGTCCTCTCCTTGCAGAGTATGCTTTACTCACATGTTTCACCTCATTAGGTTTTTTACTTTTCGCAACAGCGTTCCCTTTCCGAGGATTATTCTTCTTCCCACCCTCCTGTCTGAATTTTACATCAATAATCCCCTGGCAGAGACTGAGAACCCTTACCCAATTATCTCCCGATCTAAGGTCTTCTTCGTTGAAATCTAATTTGTTGAGCGCAACAGACACAAATATTTGCACAGAGCTAACTGCATCCTCGGCTGCATATGATATTTGAACATCGCTGAAATCGACAGCTTCCCAGTTTCCGCATCGCACATCCAACGATTTATCCATTTCTTTTCCTAGAATCTCATAAGATAGATCAGCAAGACTTCCGGTGATACAACGTTTCAACTGAGGGCGATGTCTGAATGTGAAGGTTCTGAGATCCACACAACCTCTAACTAACATCTTGTAATCATGTAACAGTTTCTTAGCATCCTCCATAATACCGACACCAACTTTAAGAATGCTGCAAAAAACAGAACATAAATAATTTTCCATTTTTTCTTGTTATTTCTATATTCCCCAGCACATTGGTCAAAAATAATATATGCATTGTGATATCATAAGATTAGTTTGGATAATTAATCACAAGATCAATCAATTTAATCAGTATCATTTTCAAAAAAAATACCTTTCCAATTTGTGCACTTACTTAAAATAACACATAGGTATTTACTGTAACTATTTTAAAATGCAAATATTCATATTAAAATGCAAATATTCATATTAAAATGCAGACAGACATGTGTGTTACAATATATTTATTTCATTCCTAACAAGCGTTTGTCCAATTATACGTATGTTTGAATATATGTACATCCAGAAATATACCAATTTGTTGACCTACACTCATAGCCATTCATGACTTTGGCAAATCATTTGGAGTACCACAAAATGCTCAGGAATCCGTACATTGTAGATACTTGCCTAACATTTTATTATCTACATAATTAGCTACAGCATGCCATTTTTAGTTATGCATTTTTTTTATCTGGACAACCTAAAACTCCATCAAAAAACATTGTTTTCAACTATTGCTTTTAACAGAACATATTGAACACAACTACGGTATATGTAATTTTCGATAATTGAAGATTTGAACATGCGTGAACAATTTTGAAGGGAGAGACCAATTTATGATTATGGTGTAAATCACACTTTAATGAAAAATGCTTTTATTAATTAAACAGTAATTTAAGAGATTTTAATATGCACCAGACTATACCTTAATGAGCCTTGTATTGCAACACTATTTTAGAGATTAAATTAATGTCAAAATTAAAATAAACAGTTACACATAAAATACTTTACTTTAGCTGAAATTATTTTCCGCTGAACAGAAATTTTGTTGAATGTAAAATATAGGATAGAAGGTATTTTTACTGAATATTATTTTCACTTAATCATTCCTTCAGGAAAATGGCGAAAAATAAGGTATTTTACAGTAGTAACATAGAATTATAGACACCTTGTACTACATTTTACCAACTTCTACATCCAACTCTTTTCTTACCTTTTGTCCTGTAATATATCAATTAAACATTCTGGTAGCATTGGTTGAATTCTATGGATTTGTATGAGATAACAGTAATCTAATGTTGAAAGTTGTAGAAGTGAGACTGGATTAGGATGGCCATCAACACTCACCCATTCACAATCCAAACCCAATACCTATAAAATTCAGAAAACAATAAGATTCAACAGTACAGTATGGTTTGAGCGTAATCTTGTCATTATTACCACTTTTGCATTGTATAGTGATCACATTTAAATCACATACTGTAAAATACTTTATTTTAGCTGGAATTAA